CGTAATCTACAGTTTGAAATACATATTAGTAATTTTTTTCAGTTTTTTTCAAGCTTTATGTAAGTAGATATATTAATAACTAACACTTTTACTGTATGGAAATTTACAAGTTTGTTAATCACACGGAAAAGTATCGTTACACGTCAAAACAACAACATGTTTTCGTGCTTGATTTCGTAAAGTCCTGTTGCGTAAACAAAGCGTAAATAATATGTAGTATGTAGCTTTATTTTAAGTAAAATCAGTTAAGTAATGGGATCTAACGTAATCTATAAGAATAATAATATATTTTGAACTATATGATTTAACATTTACGTATAGTTTATTTAATACTAACTTTTCACCCGCGGCTTCGCTCGCGTAGATTTCAATTTAGGACAAAAAATGGATCACTATTCGAAACACCTCGGTGTCTTATGTCTCTATAATTGATAGAATCAGGCGTTACTTTGCGGAAATCCATTATAATGGGGTTGTTATAAACTAATTTGCTTGATTCCGCGTAAAGAAAAGAAATGATTTTAAAACTGGGCAGGACACATCATTTTCTTTCCATTATGTCTCTATGTCTATTTGTTAAATTGGAGGTAGATAATTGATATTTTGCATAGATATAATATGCTACAGGAACACGTGAATAATTGTTTTTCCAGAATTGCATTAATATCACAACATGTCGAGAAACATATAGGTACTAATTTCTATATCGGGCGTGTCTTCCGATAAAAAAGGTAAATTCTCTTGGAAACGAAATTGCGTTCCTTACATTTTACTCTTTACATTCCTTCATGATTAAAGTAAATTTAGTTTTAAATAATAGAGAATAGAATAGAATAGAATAGAATAGAATAGAATAGAATAGAACAGAACAGAACAGAATAGAACAGAATAGAAGAGAATAGAAGAGAATAGAATAGAATAGAATAGAATGGAATAGAATAGAATAGGATAGAATAGGATAGAATAGGATAGAATAGGATAGAATAGGATAGAATAGGATAGAATAGGATAGAACAGGATAGAACAGGATAGAACAGGATAGAACAGGATAGAACAGGATAGAATAGGATAGGATAGAATAGGATAGAATAGGATAGAATAGGATAGAATAGGATAGAATAGGATAGAATAGGATAGGACAGGATAGGATCGGATAGGATAGGATAGGATAGGATAGGATAGGATAGGATAGGATAGGATAGGATAGGATAGGATAGGATAGGATAGGATAGGATAGGATAGGATAGGATAGGATAGGATAGGATAGGATAGGATAGGATAGGATAGGATAGGATAGGATAGGATAGGATAGGATAGGATAGGATAGGATAGGATAGGATAGGATAGGATAGGATAGGATAGGATAGGATAGGATAGGATAGGATAGAATAGAATAGAATAGAATAGAATAGAATAGAATAGAATAGAATAGAATAGAATAGAATAGGATAGGGTAGGATAGGATAGGATAGGATAGAATAGAATAGAATAGAATAGGATAGGATAGGATAGAATAGAATAGAATAGGATAGAATAGAATAGGATAGAATAGAATAGAATAGAATAGGATAGAATAGAATAGAATAGAATAGAATAGAATAGAATATAATAGAGTAGAATAGAGTATAATAAGAATATGAATAGAATAAATTTTTATCCAATATAGATCACATGTGTATTTCTTATTGAACGTCATTTTTTTACTTTACCACTGGTTCGAGAAAATACCTTTTTTTTTTTTTTTTTTTTTTTTTAATTTATTAAGCATAATTATGTTACATTATCCAGTACAATACTAGCATATAAACCACTAGGGGTTTATCTACACTAGAGAGTCGTCTTATAAAAACAAAGATGTATTAATATGAAATCACAATAATCCAGTATGAAGTACTTACTACAATAAGTATGGTTGATTTATCAAATATGATTTGAGTTTACTTTTAAACAGTTTTGATTTACCGTATGTGTTTTGTAATTCTAGTGGCAAGGCATTAATAAAAGTAGGTACAAGATACGCCAACTTTCTTGCTCCATAGAAATTTTTAGTTTTCGGAAGTACATACATGTTGGATTTATAAGCTATATTTCGTAAATTTACAGGTCGTTTTCTAAGAACTAGGTATTCTGAATCATTTACTTCAGTCAGTATATTAAATTTAACTTTATCGAAAACATTTATGACTTTGCAATAATTAAAAAGACCCCGGTCATTATCTATATACTTGTTTTTAATGTGCTTAGGTACTATCAATCTAAGCATTTTGCGTTGTAGTGTGTAAATTTCATGTATGTACGTTACATAAGTTCTTCCATAACTGCTAAGTCCATAATTTATAACAGAATCTGCTAGAGCCATGTAAAGTAATCTAAGTATATTATATGGTAGCTTAAATTTTAAAACATAAAGTTTACTTAACACAGAGCGAAGTTTTGCACACACGTGATCTTTATGCGCTCTCCAGCAAAATCGTTCATCAATAATCAGACCAATATACATGTGATTTTTGGCATTTTCAATGGGTTGACAAGTACAGTGTTGAAACATTCCGTGGAGACATTCATGGCCATGGGAAATGATAGTCGGTGCAGTGGTAATTTTGTTGTGAGATGAGTGTATATGAACAAGTTTTGTTTTTTGAGCGTTAACCACTAGGCCGACATCATGTGCCCACTTGCATAGCATGTCATAACTTGCCTGCATTTCAGTTTGTGCTACATCCATACTACGATCGGCAATAACGATACAGGTGTCATCGGCAAATTGATATATAGAACCCTTAGTTATTGCATTAACCATATCATTTACAAATAGCAAGTACTCAGTCGGGCCCAGTATCGAACCCTGTGCTGTACCCCGGTCAGTCACGAACATATCACCTGTCTGGTTACATATTTTGACAGTGGTATAACGATTATGATGATAACTTTTAAGAAGTTCTAAGAATGGTCCTTGAATACCGCAGCGTGATAGCTTATTGTATAATGTGTCAAAATTCAATAGATCGAATGCTTTACTAAAATCAACAAATATTACTAAAACATGCATTTTATTATCTAGATAATTATTTATTTCATCAGTAAATTGCCGTAATAGTTGTGTTGTACTTTTATTTTTTTGAAAACCAAACTGTTTTGAATTTATTATACTGTAAGTAGTCAGGTAATTGTTTAGTTCATTGCTCAAATAACGCTCAATTATTTTATTTAGGCAGGAGAGAATAGTTATAGGACGATAATTGTTAAAGTCATTATGTTTGCCTTTTTTATAGATTGGTCGGATTACACCTATTTTTAGTATGTCTGGATAAATGGACGTTTTAAGGCATTGATTAATTAAGTAGGTAATAAGTGGCACCATTGATTTATAAATGTATTTTATATCACAAGCGCGAATACCATCATACCCAGGGCTTTTTTTATCATTCATAGTTTGAATAATTTTAGTGACGTCAGCAGCCGTAGCTGTTTTTATTTTTACGGTTCTGTCAGGATTAAATTCATAGGTACGGGCATTCAAAAGTGGCTTATCACAATTAACGCATATTTTTTTAACATTTTTATCAAATTCTAAGCCAAATTTATTTGCTAATGTTTTAGGATCCATATTAAATGTTTTTAGTAATATATCATCAATACAACGTATTATTTTACCAGTTAAACTATTTATTAATTGCCAAAGTTTTATTGGGTTTCCAAAATTTTCGCAAATTTCTTTTTTAGTATTTTGATTTCGTAAAAATTGAGCATATTTATTTGTTTTATTTCTAAATTTATTGTAATTTAATCTTTTTAATGAATTAGTGTTATCCCTCTGCCAGATTTTAAATAGTTCATCGCGTTTTTTACACATATATACTAGTTTCCTATTAGACCACACACAACATTTGCGCTTACTAATAACTAAAGTTTTTGTATACTTGCATTTATCGTATGCGTTATTCATTTGCGTCCGTATGTAATTAACAATGTCGTTTGGGTCAGAGTAACTGAATGGCAACTTCCAATCTATTAGATCTAGTTCACTACGAAGTTGTTTATTATTCAACTTAGTAACGAGCCGCGGCGCGTTTTGAGCCAGTGAGTCATAGTTCGGATCCGTCATGAGTCCGAGTATAGCACAGCCTATTATTTTATGGTCGGCTGGCGCGATGTTCACACCGGCCGTATAGACCTCGTTCTTACATACCGTTCTAATCAGAATGTGATCTAAACATGATTTTGTTATTCGGTTCCCGTATTTTTCTATTCGTGTGTATTGCGTTATACCACGGTCAAGTCCTAATTCACAAAGTGTGTTAAGATATTTAGTGCTGGTGTGATTTGTCTTCTTTGTATTTAAATTCATGTCACCCATAATTATACAGCAAATTTTAGGCGAATGTTTACCTACAATATTAGCTAACTCGTCAATAAAACGGACTTTGTTTGTATCGGGTGGTCTATATACAGCACAAAGGCCTATAGTGCCGTTTTTTAAGTTTATTTGGCCATTAATGCATTCGCATTCCTCTGTTAATACTTGAATTCTACTAAAATGCAAGGATGAGTGAACATATAGCAAAATGCCGCCACCTTTCCTGTTATTTCTTAGTTCGTAATATAAGTTATAATTTAGTAAATTAAACATGTTAACACAATGATATTGAATATTAGCCTCAGTAACTATGATTACGTGAATGATGTGTGTAGTGTTATTTATTATATATTCCAGATGTGCAAAATTCTTAAATAATGATGATATGTTTACATGAAAAAACAGAAGCGAACAATTATCTAAAGGTAGTTTGTCTGTAAACTCATTCCAATTATCACAGTTTAACTCTATAATGTTAGGATTTATATTATATTCTATTCCTACAATATCCATTATCTAAGGTACTTAAATTATATTAAACTAGAATACACAAAAACAAATATTAAACAATATTATATAAAAAGAGAGATAAAAAAAGAAAAACGTTTTTAGGCACTTAACACTCAACTAAAACTGTTTCTTACTAATTAATAGGTTTATTTTGCGAGGCCATAACTGATTCTAACTCAAAGAGAGTGCGTATGGAGATTATTTTTGCCTTTTCTTCCTTGCGTAGTAGAATTGTGCCATTTTTGCACCATATAAATTTGAAAGTATTTTTAAGTGCTTCTTTGGTCTTCCATAATAAAAATGCAATCCCAGGTGCTAGTGATTCGCGTAAATACACCTTATCGCTACCCTGCAGTCCTAGTTCGGTCGCTGTCATTTTAAAATCCTTGGCTTTATTCAGCCAGATGTCTCGTGCTCCATCTTGCAGCGTAACAATGATTGGTGAATGTTCTATCCTATTTGAAGGCTCAGTGCGATTTTTTCTCTTACGGTATGCCTTAATTATGTAATTTTGGCTTACCTGCATCTTGGTAGCTACCTGTTTAGCTATGTTTACCGGATCTTCGTTAGCCGATTCCTTAACACCACAAATTTCTATTTGACACATCAGTTGGTTTTGTTCTAGTTGATTTATTTTACTCTCTAGTACGCTACATTTAAGATTAATATTTTTTAAGTTGCTTTTTAGATCAATACACTGTTTTTCAAGCGTTTTTACGTGAGTCTCGTAGTTGTTAATTTTTACACTGTATTCATCAATTTTGTCAGAATAATATTTTAATGTTTGTTGCAACTCTTCTCGGATAATATTTCTTATTTCAGTGCGTAATTGTTGTAGAACTGGTTGCAGCATTTTATTGCCCATTGTTCTTCCCGAAGCAGCAGTAATGGATCCCTCTGCTTCAGATGTTTCACCGTCATCTTCATCAGGGTCTGGTATAATATAGGAGAGGCGCTTCGGTTTCTGCGAGCCTACACATGCTTTACATTTCCAGTCCACAGCTTCCGTAGCTGACAGAGCCGTCAGCTGATCAATTGAAATGCTAGCACATGACGCATGAAGCCACTTTCCACACTTTGAACACTGCAGTCCAGGATTTTTCTTATTAATATGTTTAGGACAATTGATACATTTAACCATTTTTAAAGTTGTGGGTATCTCGGATATTTTTCTCGTTAAAAAGTAGCGCGTCCTTTTGCTTTAAGGTCCGTAAGACGACCTCTGTCCTGGGAAGAACCAGCAAGAAACCCAGTGGGACTTTTTTTAAAACAAATTTTATAATAATGGTTGTACAAACTATATAAGTACAAAATTTATTTTAGAAACAGCTTGGAAGCGATCACCTCATTCCCAGGGGTTATTCTCAACCATGTATTCATTTATACTATAATAACCCTTTTATACAGTTTCTACTTAACAAAACATTTAAACTTGCTAATAGAGAAAGCCTGTACACTTTCCGGGACCTTGTTGTAATAGCGTATACATTGCCCCAAGAATGAATTACTGACTCTGTGGAGTCTAGAAACTGGTATCACTAGCTTGTGTTTGTTCTTAGTGTTTACAGAATGCATATCACTTTTTTTACTAAAACTACCTTGTTTTTGTGAACATACATTGAATTTTCGTAAATATACTGAGAGGCCAAAGTTAATATATTTATTTCTTTAAATTTATCTCTAAGAGACTCTCTCGGTTTTAGATTGTAAATAGCTCTAATGGCCCTCTTCTGTAAAACAAAAATAGTTTCTGAATCGGCCGCATTTCCCCATAGCAAAATCCCATAAGACATTATGCTATGTTATTGTCAAGGCAAAGTCAGAGCACATAGGCAGAATTGGCGAGAAACTAGTTCCCCTTCCTTCGGGAACCCGTGCATTCTGGTCTCTCGCCAAGGCTGTCCAAGGGAGCCTTGGCTTTTCTGTAAGCCATCACTACCATCTCTGCACAGGGAGGACGACTAACTGGCCCAAGCCGCAAAATACAAAGCCGACCTTTTAGGCTCCCTTTTTGCATCCAACTCGACTCTTGATGACGGGGAGAAAACACCGTCGACCATCCCGCGGTGTGAGTGCTCCATGCCGGATGTGCTGTTCTCACAGCGCTCGGTTCGCAAAGCAAGTCTCTCCCTGGACATCCAGAAGTCGAGTGGGCCTGACGGAATCCCCCCAATTGTGCTGAGGACGTGTGCTCCGGAGTTGGCACCGGTCCTAACCCGTCTTTTCCGGTACTCCTACTCCCAAGGCGTAGTCCCGAACTCATGGAAGACAGCTTTTGTCCACCCGATCTCTAAAAAAGGCAACCGCTCAGACCCGTCCAACTAGAGGCCTATCGCGATCACCTCCTTGTTCTCCAAAATAATGGAATCCATTATTAACTGCCAGCTCATCCGGTACCTTGAGGATCACCAGCTGATTAGTGACCGCCAATACGGTTTTCGTCGGGGTCTTCTGGTCTACCTGACCCATAGATGGGCGGAGGCAGTAGAGTCCAAGGGGGAGGCGTTGGCCGTTAGTCTGGACATTGCGAAGGCCTTCGATCGGGTTTGGCACAAAGCGCTTCTTTCGAAGCTCCCTTCCTATGGGCTTCCCGAGAAATTGTGCAATTGGATCACCAGCTTCCTTGCAGATCGGAGCGTCAAGGTCGTTGTAGACGGTGCATGTTCTGACTACAAGCCTATTAACGCTGGTGTTTCACAAGGCTGTGTGCTATCACCAACGCTGTTTCTTCTGCATATCAATGATATGTTGCTAACTGGTAACATTCATTGCTATGCGGATGACAGCACTGGTGATGCTCTATACACCGGCCGTGCCAATATTTCTCGGGAAAACGTCGCCGAGTACCGGAACAAACTTGTGTCTGAAGTCGAGTCTTTGCTGAGCTCGGTCTCGGATTGGGGGCGACTAAATCTAGTCCTGTTTAATCCTCAGAAGACACAAGTTTGCGCGTTAACCGCTAAAAAGAACCCCTTTGTCATATCTCCTCAGTTTCAAGGCACTCCCTTTCTTGCCTCAGCCAGTATCGGAATCCTCGGCGTCGACATATCGAGTGACGTGCAGTTTTGTGGTCACTTGGAAGAAAAGGCCAAATTGGCCTCTAAAAAGCTTGGCGTGCTCAGCAGAGCGGGACAGTATTTCATGCCGGCACACCGCCTGCAACTTTACAAGGCGCAGGTTCGGCCTCACATGGAATACTGTTCCCATCTCTGGGCAGGGGCTCCCCAGTGCCAGCTCCTTCCACTTGACCGCAGCCAGCGCAGAGCGGCTCGAATCGTCGATGACCGAGCCCTTTCCGATCGGCTCGATTCATTGGCACTGCGAAGAGATGTTGCATCCCTTTGCATTTTCTTTCGCATCTACCATGGGGAGTGCTCTGAGGAATTGTTCGGATTAATCCCAGCCGCCAAATTTCACGAACGCACATCGCGGCAGAACTCCCGATACCATCCACACCATCTGGATGATTGGCGGTCCACCACTGTGCGATTTAGAAGATGTTTTCTTCCTCGCACGACTTCCTTGTGGAATCGATTACCATCAGCGATTTTTCCGGACCGATACGACTTAGGGACCTTCAAGAAAAGAGCGTACTCCTTTTTAAAAGGCCGGCAACGCATCTGCAATTCCCTCCCTGGTGTTGCATTTGTTCATGGGCGGCGGTAGTCACTTACCATCAGGTGAGCCGCCTGCTCGTTTGCCCCCTCTCCTATAAAAAAAGAAAAAATAACTGAAATAAACTAATCTAGCTGTCTCGACACTAGTGAGACCTCTAATCTGTTTTACAGCATAGGCTGCAGAATTTAGTCTGCTTGCTAGTTTGGATATATGGGAGCCCCACTGAAGCTCTATTAACGATGAACGTGGGCAGAATTACACTCATGAACAGGAATAGAAAAATGTTCGCCTTGTTGTGGCGGCGAAAGAGAATCCGCTGCCTCATATCGTCCCGTGGGTGTCATAAGAGGTGACACAGGAAACAAACAGGAGATAATGTATACGCTATCAAAATAAAATTAATAGTTAACTATCTATTATTTATTCTGTGGTAGTAGTTAAATATACGCTATCAGCGCCGCTAGCGGTGTGAAAGTACATCTGACGATATGAACATATCATGAAATAAAATGTTGTGTTTAGTTATTAATATCGTAAAAAATGGTCAACAAACAGTGTTAAATATCATGAAATGACACTATTTCACGAAATGATACACTTTATGATTAATGATCAATTCTACGATCTCGCTACGGCATATATGAAACTTTCTTTGATTAAACAATAAGGATAATGAAAATTTTGTAATAATTGCAGACAAACCAGTTTTAATCAATTTACATATAGATTAATAATTGAACTAAAAACCATATCAATGTTCACTATTATCTATTTAAATTATTGCAAAAAAATCAGTCCAGTAGTTTTTGCGTGAATGGTGAACACAAACACAAACAGAAAAATAGACTGACAATATTCTAAATCCCACTAATTTGGCTTCAGAGCCCTTGATTTAGTCCCTTGTACTAGTTTTTCCAAGAATATATCACCATTACATATACGAATTTTCGAGAGATTTATTATATGTATAGAAAGAATATAGACAGTACTCGTATAATTATCGCAATATAACTTTGTAATAGTACATTAAAGTTTACTTCTTAAATAAATAAAACATGCGTGAGTATCGTGGAACACTCGGTTGGAACGAAGTTCTTTTCGTAGTAGGTATATTATTATTGATAAACATATTATATTATTGATTTACAAATGCAAACAAATGAATTACTAACGTCTCTTAAAATGAAGCGTCATTTAAAATAAAATAATATTTCTTTCATGGCAAGATAAGAAAAAGTGCGAGGGAGATAGATATTATTCCATCTCGCTTCTTTACAGCCGCCAAGGCCATTTACATTACGCTAGAAGGAGTCGTGACGGAAAAATTCTTCACTTTTTCTCGCCTAGCCCTCATCCAAAGAGAATATAATCACTAGGTTTAAGAGGCAGTACTTCCATAGTAAATGTATGAAAGTACGCCAAGCTACTCTGCTAACATCAAGATATGACATTTAGTTTTGACAAACAGTGCTGACAACATTGACGAATTACAATAGTGCTGTAAATGTCTACACTCGAATAATTTTATCGATATATTGTTTATATATTTTACATAATAAAAGTTAGATCTCTATACTGAATTATTTATGAGAAATAATTTTTTTAACGTGGGGATTGAGTAAAATGCCGATGAGGATAAGAAATCAATGTATTTTACACACATAAATTTGTAATCATATCGCTACAATTATTAGGTACAAAAATATGTATAAAGAAAATGTAAAATAACGTTAAGTTAATAATATATTCAATATTCAACAAGCGACTAATGAATTATTTAGAAAAAAAAATGAGCTTTTGGATCAAAAACCAATTTAGTTTTCGTTCTAACAGGTCCACAGATGACGCTGTCTTTCAACTTACTACAAATATTACACGTTATCTTGATAAAAATGTAAAAGTAATAGGAGTATTCCTGGACCTTCAGAAGGTATTCGATACCGTATCTCTTCCAATATTATTAACACGTTTCGAAAATATGGGAATCAGGGGAAATGCACTTATGTGGTTCCAGAACTACCTTTTGGATAGGAAGCAACGTGTTAGGGTTGATGGCTTATTAAGTAATGAATTCAACTCCATTTGTGGTTTCCAGAAGGCAGTACACTGGGGCCAAGCCTGTTTTTAATTTACACAAACGATTTGTGTAAAAGTAATCCCAAGGGTGCTGATATTCAAATGTTTGCTGATGATACAGTCATACTGTTTCATAGCGAGTTTTAGGAATATGTACATCGTCTTGCTGAAGACGGTCTTCGTACTATTACATCATGGTTAGAAAACAGCTTGCTAACACTTAACACAAGTAAAACAAAATATATGTGTTTCAGTAAAACTAATATTAATTCACGCAAATCTTCTTATTTACAAATCCATTCCTACCCTTGCAATTGACAAGCCAATACCAAGAATAAATCATGTATTTGCTCATTAATCGAAAGATTAAAGTTCTAAAATATCTAGGAATGAGTATTTATGATAAGCTCAACTGGAAACCGCACATTACATCTGTTGCTAATAGGC